AAATGCTGCTATTTGCCACAATTAGTAGAATGTCATAAGGAGTTAAGTTGAGGCTTTCAACTCCAAGGTCTTAATTCCTCTTAAGACTAATTCAAAAGGTTGTGACACCTTCATCATTGCCGTCTGGATGCTTTTCGTCACATTCGCACTGAGATTTGCTTTTCCTTCTCAGGCATTACAGTTCTGCTCTCCCTGACGGTCTTTATGCTGCTAGTTGCAGAGATTATGCCTGCCACATCAGACTCTGTGCCTTTAATAGGTAAGTCCGGCTGAAGTTGAAAGCAGCTGCTACGGTTGTCAACCACAATCAATGAAAAAGCCCCGGTGAAAACCCCTGTCATCTTTTTTTATTTTTTTTATTTTTTTTTAATGTGTTTCTCTGAAATCACAGTGTGGCCAATTTGAGCAGCCATCCAGGATTTGATCATTCCTTTAATTCAGAGCTGAGTCATCCTAGGTGATATTTCTGCAATACACAGAGAAAGCTTTTCTCTTTCCATTTTTGTGTGAGACTCAGGAAACTACAGACAAATCTAACGCGCGAAAGGGGTTTTGAACTTTTCAATAGTTTGTCACATTTCCACCACAAACCTCTGTTTTTAATTGAAAATCTAAGAGATTAACACGAAGAGGCTCTCAATTTTGATGTGAAAGTGAAACGGGAAATTTTATTTTACATTTTTTTTAATGCACAGCAATCTGAAAAATGTTGTGCATTTGTATTTAACCCCTTTTTCCCTAATGCTTTGTAAAATCACTTTCGGCTCCACCTGGAACTCTTCCAGGTCAAATACTGGTTGGTATTTTTCTAGGATCATTATTTATGTGTTATGTGGAATTATTATTGAGTGGTTCTTCAATGTTAAAATTTTATTTTCCCACAAAGCAGTCTCATTTGATGCTTGTAATCGTTATCTCAGCTGGCTTCTAACGCAGCTTTCTGGGTCTTCACTTCTTCCTTTCCTCAGCTGAATACTTTGCCACAACCATGGTGATTGTTGGTCTGTCTGTGATTGCAACTGTTTTGGTCCTGCAATATCACCACCACGATCCTGACGGAGGAAAGATGCCAAAATGGGTGAGTCTTCCGATTTTTATTGTTGCTTACAATCTGTGTGGTATTTATTTTACAATGATTACATTTACATTTTAACTAAGCTGTTTTTACTTCAGCTGTTGACAAAAATAATCATTGCACATATTCCCGGGCACTACCTGAGGACGACTCAGGCTCTGACATTATCATCACTGTCGTCGATGAAAACACAAATTGTGCAGACTCAGCAGAACTATTGCATACAACTCGTAAGGAAATGATATTTGCCTTCATTATTCTGTGATCTGGTAGACCCGCGTCATCCTGTTGAACTGGTGTGCCTGGTTCCTGCGCATGAAGCGCCCCGGTGAAGACAGAGTGCGCTCAGCCTGCCACAACAAGACCCGACGGAGCAGCCTGACCAGCATGGACCTCAACGCCAGCAGCTCCGTCTCCCAGTCCACCAACGGCCACATGCTCTACGTCGGCGTCCGCGGCCTGGAGAGCATCCACTGCTCCACGGCCGCCACCTCTCCCGATTCCGGGGTCCTCTGCGGGCGGCTGATCGGACGAGCCGGCGAGGACGAGTTGCTCCTGCCATCGAGTCAGAGCCCCAGCATGGGGTACATGGAGCTGGAGCTGGCCAAGATCCTGGACGAGGTGCGGTACATCGCCAAAAGGTTTCGTGACCAGGACGAGGACGAGACCGTGTGCAACGAGTGGAAGTTTGCCGCGTCTGTCATCGACAGGCTTTGCCTCATGGCTTTCTCTCTCTTCACCATCCTCTGCACCATCGGGATCCTCATGTCGGCACCCAATTTTGTAGAAGCCATTTCCAAAGACTTTTTTACATGAGGTGATTGAAATAAAATTTTAAGGTAACAAAAAAAAAAAAATCTGGCACTCTGCTAATGAAATCAGGCATAAATTCACAGGGCAGTAATCTGGATACAGCAATTTCTTCTGTTTACAAATGCATATAATGATAAAATGTTCACGGTTTCTCAAAACTGAGTGAAATTAAAAATCAGTTTGCAGTGTGAAAATAATGAAACAAATCCACTGCATTATAATGTGACACCACCCCACACTTTGAAGAAAACAAATGCTATCTCTTTGGACTGTCTGACTATAAATCCGATTGCTATCATCAGTGTAATTTGTGAAAAATGTAGCTTTGGTTTGCTGTGTGATTTCTTCATTGTAATGTACAGTTTTGCTAAAATATAATAGCAGTCCAACATTACAGACCAGAAATATTTATATCTACACGGCATTTTACCAGAAGGTATAGAAGAATAATAGAAAACTTGCAGCACTCATCACCTGCAAGCTGTTGATTATGTGTAAACTGTCAGCAATTGGATGAGGAGGTGGGGGGTGCGTTCTAACAGTGACGCCATTCGGGTTTGAAACATTTGGATTACTACATACGTTACATTATTTAAAAGCCCTTAACTGTCACCCCAAAAACAGTGTAAGTCAGTGGGTCCATGGGGACAACGGTGTCCTCGTCACAGCTAAGGGGTTAAACATCTTCAGCCCAGGATGTTTTTCCCCACCCAAGGTTTGTCAGAGCTTCTCAAAAGCAGCAAGGCTTCACATTGGTGTTTTCTGATCATCACAGTTGTCATAATAAACTGTAGACCTTATTTAGCCAACATGAAGCTGAACATTTTGCTGAATCTTGGCTACCTTGTCTACTCAGTGGTCCATTGGCACAATAGTTTTCCGTTTTCTTCGGTGTCTTTTTGATATTGGCTATCATTTCAAGGTCATTTTATTGTTTTACGTGATTCATTATATGCTCTCCAATCAGCTTCTTGAAAGAAGAATGGGCTAAAACCATCATGAGCAACTTTTGGTGAATTCATCCTTAGCCAGAAATACACATCGACTGGCCTAAAGAAAAATGTCGCCAATCTTTTTTTTTAGAACCGATAAAACCAACATCGTTCCTTCTGAGTCTGGAAAGCCTGTCAGACCAATTGTGAGGAATTGTGGGTTGGGCATCAAGCTATGGGGATATTTCTTACTGTGGTGTCTTGCCTGTTTATCACACATCACTGCATATCATGGATCAGTTTGAATTCATAAACGTGCCAGAAGAGGCTTTGTTGTCTTCTGTCAAAGAGGAAGTGCCCTTGAGATTGATGTTTCAACAACATAGTGACCCCAAACACACCAGTAAAACCAGCAGCATCATGGTCCCAAACCAACAACGTGATGTTATATAACAGCCAACCCAATGCCTCGACCTTAATTCAACAAAAATCATGTAGGGTGACATCATACATGCTGTTTCAGTGGTAAAACTAAGATATGCAAGATTGTGGAATAGAGTCCTATCATCCTGCTTTGTAATAGCTGTTCACTGGTTCCAGAAGTTGGTTGTTCATTAAAAACTGATGTGCCACAGTTTTCAGAAGCAGCAGCAGCCATCCAGCTCAATATTAGCTCATTAATTCGCAGGAAAGCTTAATTTTCAACCATTTTCAGTACATTACATGATGAGAATGATTACCACTCCAGTTATTAAATAGCAGTGCAGGCTCTGGCATTTTGTTGAACGGCGTAATGTTCCTTACCTTTACTTTCTATATACTGGGAATAAATTTGATGCTTTTCTTAATGCATTGATTTAAAGTAGAATGTTAACAGTGTTTGCAATGCTTTTGTGTGCGTGGAAATAATGGCTATTATAAGAATGGTGAAATTTACTCTTTTTTTTTAATCATACTACTATCAGTTTTAACACAACTGTACATTGGATATATGATATCTAAAACAGCTACAGTATCTTGCATCATGTAAATATTAAAAACTGAAGTAAAAAAATTGCAATGTTGTTTGCCTTTCTATATAGATAAGCTCCTTGCTATAGTCTATTTTTAATTGTTGCTTCATAATTTTATCCTAGGACTTTATTGATGTCAGAATGATCGACTTTGTTTTTATCATCACATTTCAGTGATTGCTCTTGTTCACTGAACAATTTAATAAATGTTTTTTTTTTCTTGAAACTGGAGTCCTTTATTGGTACTGCACCTTAAAAAATGACATGGATTTACACTCCATATTCCATATATAAATGAAACCATGAATTTGAACTGTTGCACACTGAAAAAGGAAAACTAAGAAAGTGAGATTTTTTTTTCTTTTAGTAATTATAAACAAGGCTTCAATGTAGTGAGACATATTGAAGCAGGAGGTTCAATATGCTTCAGGAGGTTATTTCAGCAGCATCCTCTGTAAATTGTTTCAAAGGGTGTGAAAAGGTACTGTATATTGCTATGTCAGAGCAAAATCTAAAATACTTAACATTAAAAGAAAATGTTTATATACCCTTGGCACTAAAAAAAATAGCTGGCGAAACAAACCTGCCATCTTGTGGCTGTACATAACAAATACAACCATCAAAAAATGTAAAATAATCTGTAGTTCGTGGATCCTTATTAAAGGAAAATATGCTCATAGGTTATAATTTATGAAAAGTTTCAGATTGCTAAATGTTCCACGTGAGACCCAACAAACTGGAAGGCAATCTTTCGGTAAAAACTCGGGAAAGTTTTGATGGGAATTAGGACTGCTTCCGAGATCCGAGTAATTTGGCCATGATTGTTGTCACTGAAAGCTTTTCCCTAATACATTTTTTTTTTGCTCGTTTTTTCCCTATTTTTTTTTCCATTTTACTAAGCATTTGTTAAAAAAAACATTTAATAATTTGGGCAAACATTTCGTGTACAGGAACATTTTCATTATATTTAGTGTTTTTTTATTGTAAAAAGAAATGTAATAATCCCAGTTTATGCATCGTATATATGCCAATATGATTTTAGAGTCAAATTAGGTGACTGTGAAGGAATATAAAAAGGAAAAGACAAAAATCCAAAGTACCTGACGGTCACACGTTTTAATATTCAACAAAGTTGTCAGATTGAGTTGGCTCAGTTGCGAGCGACACTGTGTGCGCCATCAATATCTTTCCGACTAGAAACTTGTTCACGAATTAAACGTTAGATTTGGTGTCTTGGTGTTTTCTTAGCTCGCTTTAGCTTCGTTATTGGTGAAATGTCTGATGCCTTGTTGCAGTGGTGCGTTGACCAATTACATCACAAATTTGGCTTGGAGGCATGTGAAGACATTGTCCAGTAAGTGTTTAATATTTCCTTTAAGACTGTCTATCACAAGCTGGAAGCTAGCTAATTGAATGATGGTGCTATACTGATATGGCCTGTTAATAAAAATAGGTTCTGTGTAAAGGGAAATTACGTGAGTAGACGTTTTGTTGTAACCATTTCATGTTTTATTATTATTTTCATTACTGTAACAGCTGTCTAACACGTTTATCAGCTATCTTCCAGCTAACAGTTAGCCCCTCATTTCTGAAAGTTCGGCTTTTGTTAAATCCGTTTTAAATGTTCATATTTCAATGAACATTTACTGACTGTCATCACTAAGCTGATGACAGTCCTGTACCCTCTAGCTGTATTGTTGTCATTAGTGTTTAGGCTTTTCTACTTCAAAAATAAAATGTGATACAGTGTGATACAACTTCATTTGATAATCAGCTTGCAAGATTGAGAGAACCAAGATCATTTTTAAAATATACCTGTTGTACCACGCAAAGTTTAAAAAATACCCTTCTGCCTTACATATCTATAATAACATACAGTATAAATTCTCTCTCTTGCTTCATAAATCTTTTAAAACTTTCTAGGAAAAGAAAAGGAAGCATAACTTTTAATGAAAAATTGTGAGAAGATTATCAACTTTAAAAAAAAAAATCTCTGTGATTTCCCAGGTATATTCTCTCCATCGAAAAACCCGAGGAGATCGAGGAGTACGTGGGAGATCTTCTGCAGGGCACTGATGGAAAAAAAGGCCAGTTTATAGATGAGCTCCTACTCAGATGGAAGAAGACTCAAAGACAGAGTGGGGATACAGCCGGTCTTTTCCTTCTCAAGGAGTCCGCTTCACCAGCAGGTAGGACAATAAGTATCCAGTTAATGTGTTTCTCAAAAGAAATGCTACTCTGACAACCTGCGGTTCCATTAAAAAGAGCGAAAGAACCTATGAAAGCCAACCTGAAATATTAATATCTTTTGTTTCTTAAATTTATGTTATTGTTTTTACAGATATGCAAGACTTCACCAAAGATACCCAGAAGAAGTCCAAGCGTAAAGGACGTAACAAACAGGAAGTGGTGACTGCGAGCCAAATGGAGCCTGAACCAGAGCCAGTGAAAACCCCCATGGATCTGATGAGGGTGAGCACACATCTCTGTTTTCTTATATGCTTTATTTTTATGCTTTAGTTACTTCCATTTATATATATATATATATATATGAAGAAAAAAAAACATGGTTAACAGTTGACGATCAGCTGATTGGTCAATGTCTTTCCAGGCCCAGGAAAACAGCAACACTTCTTCAACTAAGAAGAAAACCAAGTTTGTCAATCTCTACGCTAAAGAGGGTCAGGACAAGCTGGCTGTCCTACTCCCAGGTCGGCACGCCTGCGAGTGCCTCGCCCAGAAGCACGCGCTCATCAACAACTGCCTCAGCTGCGGGCGAATTGTGTGCGACCAGGAGGGCTCGGGACCCTGCCTCTTCTGTGGAAGCCTGGTGAGCAAATTTAGCTCCAGTAACGTTCCTAGCTTTTAGGTTTTGTTAACAATTTAAAAAAAAATAAAATTTGTGCATCTTTATTTCAGGTTTGCACTAGAGAGGAGCAGGAGATTCTACAGCGAGACTCCAACAAAAGTCAAAAACTCAGAAAGAAGCTTATGGGAGGTCAGAGCCCAAACTTTTCAGACTGAGCTCAAGAAATATCACGTTTCTAAGTCGTGTCATCTGCAAAGATTGTCTTGTTTTATTTTTGTATATGTCGTTGCCAGATGCTGGAGAAAGGGAGCTTCTTCCACATCAGGAAGCCAAACTGAAAGCCGGGCTGGAGAAAGCAGTTCAGCACAAAGACAAACTGCTGGAATTTGACAGGAACAGGTATCTTAAAACGCTCAGAAATGAGCAGGTTCACTGCTGTGAACACAACCCACCCGTTTTAATTCACTGCCCCGTTCAACTGCAGTGTCAGGAGGACGCAGGTGCTGGACGACGAGTCGGATTACTTTGCTGCCGAGTCCAATCAGTGGCTGTCGCCCAATGAGAGAGAGAAGATGCGGAAAATGGAAGAAGACCTGCGAGAACTTCGCCACGCCTCTCGTAAGGACAGGAAGATCACTCTGGATTTCGCTGGCAGACAAGTCATCGACGAGGGGAACGATATGAATGAGTATTACAGAAAGTAAGATCGATTGTCTGCGCTTTTATGTTTTATATCGGCTTGAAACCCAAACAATAGAAACACTTAACATTTTTGGAATTGTTTTATTTTTTAGGCTGGATGAGACCCTCAAAAGCATGAACAGTGGGTCAACGCCACAGACCCCTGGAGATCCTGAAAGAAGAAGTGGAAAGCAGAACCTCAGAGAGCTGGTCAACCCAAACATTATGCTGTCTGCGCCAGAAGTAGGTCGCATTAAAAGGACAAAGTAACCAGATAAAGGCAGTTATGTTGTTTCTTTATATTTTTAGAAAATGACCTGGTAAGCAGTGATGTTTACGGCTGCACAGTGTATCTCACTCTATTGTTATTTCGATCCATGTGTTTGATAAGATGCATAACGTGTAAAGCTGCTTGAGGTGCAATAAATGTAGGTTATTTATTTGAATACAATGCATTCAGAATCTGCGTCAGAGATGCTGTATGTTTTGGTGAGTCACGAACATTGCAGCATTTTAAATGTCTTAGAAGATTTTTTTTAAAAAGTGATCAGAAAGTCTTTAGGAAGCTGCAGCTAAATTGTTTCGATGCCATAACAGCAGACGCTGCACATTTCCCATATATTGATTTTTAAACACCTTAGTGATGCATCAAGAAGAGGAGTTGCTACCTCAGATAGCTCTTAGCGTGGCTAATTTAGTGAGCAGAAAAGGGATTTCTAAGTTTCCACTTCGCTGATCATCAATCAGGCCTCATAAAACTGAAAATCTGCCAATTTATCAGTGGATCTCTTTCGCAAAAAATCCTTCTTAAGCTATAAGAAGGATTTGTAATACATTTTGGCTTTTTTTTTTATTTAAACCTAGTGGGTGGACATTGGAGGCAGGGAACGCCAAAAGCAACCCATGGAGCCGAGGAAAAACTTGACAGAAGAAAAAGGAGGAGAGGAGCGCCACAGGTTGAGACTCCAAGACAAAGAGCTGCAGGAGATTTCTGACGGAGGCTGGTGTCTGAGTATGCATCAGCCGTGGGCCTCACTGCTGGTCAAAGGCATTAAGAGGTAAACAAGGACAGATATACATCTTTCAAAATAAGCAACACCTTTTATTTAGTACCTATTAGAAAAATAATGTATACACTCAATGTTAAAGATTTTGCATCTTGTGTGAATGTAGGGTAGAAGGTCGCACCTGGTACACGTCGCACAGAGGTCGCCTTTGGATCGCTGCTGCAGCCAAAAAACCCACAGCTCAGGAGATCGCTGAGGTGGAACAAATGTACCGCCACATCTACAAGAGAGGTCCGACTAACTTATGACAGAAATAAGTCAACAAACACTGGGTTGATCATAATTACTAATAGAATTTGTTTAAGTGTTCAGGATCATTAAAAAGCTACTGACGCAAAATAGAAACACAAACAAAAGAAACACGTAAACCTTTAAATAGATGATGTTTTAAAGCCCCTAAACGCCAGTAGGAACATGTTTAATTCACAACTGTGTTTGGGTCAAAGGTTGAGGTAGATAAGTATTTTATACCTCGATATTTCTACTAGTTTTTCACAGGAAAGTTAAAAAATAAATATTTGTGAATAATGTAGCAGATGGTTATTATGTTAAGTAATATTTTCCTTTCCACAGACAAAAGTTCTAACAGCGTCTTTTTTTAAAAAAATGGGTTAATTTTATACTTTTAATTTCAGTAATTCTCAAAATGTTCTGCTATTTTTGAACGCTGTATAGCATACTGTTTTCTGGTCTTTTTTTTTTTTTTTTTGGGGGGGGCCTATTAGTGGGAAAGAAAATTTTTAAGCCTTTTTATAAAAAAATTCCCGGTTGGGAAT